TCAGAAGTTGTGAATACATTTACTCTCTTTCACTTTAAAATGTTATAATATTTCATTATTTTATTCGACTGCATTTCATTTTTATATTGATTTCTCACTCACCATTTAGAATGATCTTGAATAACAAAATTGGATGGGACCTTGTAGGTAATCTAATCCAAACCCCTGCTCAAGCAGAATAACTTGTAACATTTCTGACAAGTGGTTGTCCAATGTCCAAGACTCCAGGATGAAACATCCACAACTTCTGAAGGCAAGCTGTTCCATTGGTTAATTGTTCTCGTTGTCAGAAAATTTCTCGTTATTTATATGTTGAATCTCTCCTTAACCAGTTTCCATCCATTGTTCCTTGTCTGGCCTTCGGGTGCTTTAAAAAACAGGTTGTCCCCCTCCTCTCTCTGTGACAGCCCCTCAAATATTGGAACACTGCTATCCTATCACTGGTCCTTCTTTTCACTAGACTAGCCATGCCCAGTTCCTGCAACCGTTCTTCATATGTTTTAGCCTCCAGTCCTCTAATCATCCTTGTTGCTCTTCTCTGCACTCTTTCTGTAGTCTCAACATATTTTTTTACATTGTGGTGACCAAAACTGAATGCAGTATTCCAAGTGTGGCCTTACCAAGGCTTTATAAAGTGGTATTAACACTTCACGTGATCTTGATTCTGTCCCTCTGTTTATACAGCCTAGAACTGTGTTGGCTTTTTTTGGCAGCTGCTGCATACTGCTGGCTCATATTTAAATGGTTGTCCACTAGGACTCCAAGATCCCTTTCACAGTTACTACTATTAAGCAATAATAAGCATTAGTTATAAGTTTACCGTAACTTACCGTATTGCTCTTATTTGTAGGCATTTGTGGGAGTTAGTGCACGACTTCTTGCAACCTCTTGGAGAAGATATCAACGAAGACACACTTGAATTGTCTTCTCAGGCATCCTTACAGCTTTGATTTAATTTGTAAGACACAAAAGCTCCTATGGAAAAATGGATGGTGTGAGAACTACATTAAGTCATGCTATTCGCATAAAACAAAGAGCAAGTAGGAAGAAAGCAGATCAAAATTTGAGATCTCCACCCACCAAGAGGGCACTAAATGAAGAAGGCCGCTGTAGAATTTTTGTTGCATTCTACCGTAGAAATAGAGTGACTGCTAGTTATGGTTCTAACTGTGATTCTACCATCCTATTTGGTTTAATGATTGCTCATGTATGTTCGCCATTATAAATATTAGAAAAGTATAAATATTTCTCTTTAAGAAGTAAAATGACTGACAGACCAAAAGTATGAACTTTACTGAAAATTTACAACATTTTTCAAAGAAGGCAATAAGAAAGAAAATGCAATAGTCAGTGTTTAAAATTCCTCCTCCTTCTGTCCTTAATGCTTTTCACCTGTCTGTTGACTGTGTAATTGACATCTCATAATGTGCTACATATTCTTGCAGTAGATGTTTCTAATTATCTATTCAACTGCATTTGTGTGGGTTAGTATTCATTAGATTTATTATGAGCAATCTTGGTTTATTGGAAATGTATATAGAATATATAATTGGAATTAGCATACAATTATATACTATGCACTTAAACTTCCAACAGGTGCAGAGAACCATTGTATTAATAATATTAGTGATATTATTGGGCAATAACCCTTGTATTGTCCGAAAAACAAAGTTCCTTTGTTCACTGGTAGGGCCTATAGCCATATATGTTCCATCTTACTTTTGCAATCCTTAGAGGCCTTCCACTTTTCCAGAATAAGCATGGCTAAAACTGTAGTGAATTGAGGAGGTTAAGGGTTTCAGTGTGTTCCCCAAAGACCCTTCAATTCTATCCCAATCAGCCTGCTTTTCCCATGGAGGAGTAAAAGCCCATTAAATCTACCCAGTCCCCTTCACCAAAAGATGAAAAGTTGGGCTCTGCTTATTTCAATTATGTTCTGATAGCACCAGCCTTGAAGGCTATATACTTCTTTTTAAAAATGTCCCTCTTACTAAAGGAAATTCCCTATCGTTGGTTTGCTTCAAAAGCAGCTTCTGTCCTTCAGAACCATTTGTTTCAATTTAATCTGAGTTAGTAACTCCAAAGATTGCAGCAGCAACAAGTTATTTCTGTCCACATATACGGGAGGGGGCTTCAAAATTTTAGCAAGTGGTTCTCTGCCCAGTTGCTGGGGGTGGCATGTGGGCGTGGCCTAGTCAGCGTTCTGCACCATGGCGATGGTAGTGGGGTGTTTTTGCCATCCCTGGGCTCCAGAGGCTTTCCTTGAGCCTCCGGGAGGGTGAAAACAATCTCCCCAGGCTCCGGAGGGCCTCTGAAGGCTGGAAATGGGCCCATTTCCAGCCTTCCCAAAAATATTTGATCAACTCAAAACTTGGTCAACATTTTGTAGCTTCTGCTATGGAAAAGAAGAATGGTATAGTTGTATACTTAAGAAAAGACATGAAAGCTCCTTTTGAAGAAACCCNATTGGGCATACTCTTCGGCTCTGCCCTGCAAGGGTTCCCCCGCTTCCCTTTTGTTCAGTAGGGAGCGGGTTATCCTAAACAGGGCGGCCGGGCGGGATATGTAAAGAAGTACCAGGGGAGACATGATAGCAGTGTTCCAATATTTGAGGGGCTGTCACAGAGAGGAGGGGGTCAAGCTATTTTCCAAAGCACCTGAAGGCCAGACAAGGAATAATCGATGGCAACTGACTAAGGAGAGATTCAACCTAGAAATAAGGAGGAAGTTTTTGACACTGAGAACAATCAACCAATGGAAGAGTTTTCCTTCGGAAGTTGTGGGAGCTTCATCACTTGAGACTTTCAAGAAGAGATTGGACTGCCATTTGTTAGAAATGGTGTAGGGTCTCCTGCTTAAGCTGAGGGTTGGACTAGATGACCTATAAGCTCCCTTCCAATTCTGTTAATATGTTGAACCAAATTGGCAACATTGTCATGCTTGATTCTAAGAATTAGATTAGTGCAGGACTGCTCTAGAGACTGCTCTGCTTATTCCTGAATAGTCACTATTGTTTTATAGTTGGGGCAGAGTGAGTCTTTGTAGAGAAAAGGTATACAAGCATTTAGCTGAGAATTGACCAATGTTGGAAAATCTGATATCCCGCTGCTCAGTAAATGCCACCCAGTAACCAGCTCACTGATGTGTTGGATTACAATCCTTTATCCACAGTGCGGCATCATCTGCCTAGTTTTAGCCTTTTGATTCTCCTGGTGTTGCCTTTGTTCTTTTAACTCTGGCATTGGATGATTACTGTCTGTGGGAAATGACTCATAGACTATTTTGCCTCTGATTGCTGCCCTGAACAACCCTCAAACATGACACATATTCTTTTTACAACTTCACTGATAAAATGTCAAGTTCACTCTTTTAAAATCAAAAGGCTTCAAAAAAGAATTTTGTCAGAAATAAGAATGTATTTATTGGAATCCACAACATCAGCCCTGTAAAGAAACAGTTTGTTTTGGAGAGCTTCCAGGAAACCATCAGCACTTATGCCAACATAGAAATTGATTTGTGAAAGCATATTCTGCATTAATTAGGAAATTTTACCGTACATTTTTTTTAAAAAAATGGAATTTTTACTTCTGAGTTTCTGAAGAAATCTCTTTTGAAAAAGGTAAAGAAAACTGTAACATGGAACTTGTTTAATATAATTTGGGTTGAACACAGAGGCATTTTTAAATCATTACCTTAGTGCTCTGTGCAGGGAACTTATGATGGTAACAATCTACATTATGATACAGCCTACAAAAGCAGAATACCTAAAGTGACCAGATTTTGAAATTGGTTAAGCGGGACACCATTGACGAAGAGGGCAGGGGGTGGGGCGGTGTGTTCTTGATTAAAAATTTTGCCGCCCAGCACTGCGGCTGAGGTGAAGCCACCAAAGCTCCCGCTGGCGCCCCCGCCCATGGCAGCGGTGGTGCCGCCTCCCTCCCCCTCTGCTCGGAGCACCTGAGCTGGGCACTGCGTTACCCCTGCCGCTGCTGCCGCCTCCTCCACCGTGCTTTTGAGAAGCCATGAGGCCTTTTTTTCCTGCTCCCACCCCCTCTGCTGCCTTCCTACTAGCTCCTGCAGCCTCATGGCTCATGTAGCCCCCCACACACAAACTTTTCTTTGCAAAAAGTGCCCCCTCCTTTTGAAAAAGTGTTTGGGAGAGGGAAGGAGGGGAAGGCAAAGGCAGACCCCTAGCCTTGCTCCTTTGTGTCTAGGGCAGGGGTCCCCAAACTTGGGCACTTTAAGACTTGTGGACTACAACTCCCAGCATTCTCCAGCCAGAGAATTCTGGGAGTTGAAGTCCACAAGTCTTAAAGTGCCCAAGTTTGAAGGCCTCTGCGTGTCCACGGTGAGGGTGAGGGGCCCCTCTTCCCCACCCCCCATTGTTCCTTTAGACCCTTCCTCACCCAGAAGACAAAGGTGTAGATGAGGAGGATGCTCTTCAGGCAGGTGATGACTGGCTTGGTCTGCAGCCTCCATGATGGGGATGCCATTGCGCCAATCCTGGATGCCGCCACTCTGCCGCTCGTCCAGACCAAGCCAGACTTCTCCCGGCCAATCGCAAATCCGGGCGGACCCCCCGAGCCTGTCCGGGATTTGCCGAAAGACGGAAACACCCCTCAACCTCCCATCCTGTAGCCGATGCCGATGCAACACCCGACGCTAGCCGAGCACTTTTCCGGAAGACCTGAACCCAATCGGAACCAACCCGAGCTTTTCTGAGCTATCCCGAAAGGAGGCAGGAGCTTCCTTCAGCTTTTACTGACATCTTGCCACGTGCGCAGCTGCGCGAAAAATCAGGACTTTTTAAAAACGCCGCGGGACGTGGGACAAATTATTAAAAATAGGATTGTCCTGCCAAAAGCGGGAGGTCTGGTCACCTTAAGAATACCCCTTCTCAAAAGGTCAACTGTTAGATATTTCTGTGGAAAAAAAAGTAAGCACCCTCCCTTTGCAAATGGAGAACAAATGATGAATACTCTGTTTAGAAGGAAAGTCTCACAGCATGATTACAATAAGGTACAAATATTCTAATTCTTTTTTCCTCTCTGTTTAAATATGTCTATAGTCAAAAACTGAGAATAAAGCACAAAGAGGGTGGATTGTAAATTATTATCCCATCACCTATAGAAAATAAATCTATTCATTTATTTTCTAAATGAAAGGCTGAGCTTCCTTCTTTCCTGTCTCCCTCCTCCAGGACTCCTTTAATTTACTAATGGAAGAATGACATTGTAAATCTATTTTATTTTTAAGCAGCTGAAATTCATAAGAGCTATGTTAGTTTCCCTTCCAGTTCCTGACAGGAAAAATCTTTTTTCTTTTATAGTAGTGTTGATTCCTGGCAACTGCCTGGATTAGTTCTTGGCAAGATTTTCAGAACTGGTTTGCCATTGCTTTTTTCCTAAGACTGAGTGAAAGCAATTAGACCAAAGTCACCAAAGCTGCCTTAATTTATTTTCAAAATGTTTTCTTTTTAATCTGTGTATTAGATACAGAAGTGGTTTTTATTTGGCCATATCCCCAGCATTCTCAAGGACTGCTTCATTGATTTGGATCCTAAGAATTGTGAATGTTCCAGAAGCTAGTCAAAGTTAATGAACTTTGATCCAAAGAAACACGCAACTAGATTCATAATGAAGCATTATTGTTCTCTTTCTCCTCTTCCTAATACCAGTTCTTTCACACAGCATAAACTTCTCACAAATTTGGGAGAAGCTTCCAAAGTCATTGTAGTTTGTCACTGGAGGATGGTAGATAACAACTAATGCTTTCTAGACAAAGAAAAAAAACATAGTGTGATGATTCTGAGAAAAAAAACAATAACTATCCACAAGACACAATATAATTGCTAAATTAATAGTTTTCTTGGATAGCAAAGAACAAAATGTGAGCTATTCCATATTTAAATTTAAAAGCAACAACAACAGAAGATTTGGGTGCAAACACACTTACATTTTTAATTAATTAAAATATTTATGAATTGCTTTCCTGCTCCTATTTCTCTCTTTTCATCATATAAGGCAATAAATGCCAATTCACAGATTTTAAGACTGTTTGAGCAACAATACAAGAAGAAGGAAGTGTTGTTCCAATCGTTTAACTGCCATACAATTTCAGCAGTTAACTGGTAAGAGTCACAGAATCAAATCACTTTCAGTAATGTTGGCTGAGTAATAATGTAGGGCTGTTACCTCAATTCTGAAATATTATTGGCATGTCAGGGGTGAAATCAACTTTCCTTTGCTACCGGTTTGCAAATGTGAGCATGTGCGCAAGCTTTGCTTGCAAGTGGCACCTCCGCGCAAGTGCAGAGCATAAAAATGGGATGTGATGATGTCTGGATGGGTGGGCGGAGCCTATTGATGCCACCGCTACTGGTTCACCCGAACTGGATAGAACTGGCTGAATTGTACCACTGGGCCATGTGCTGTTGTGTCATGCTCCTCAGGGAAGCAACAGCAGAATGGTGAAAAAGAAACCTCCCCATCTGACAGTTTCCATCTGTTGCTTCAGAAAAATTAGTTAGATGATAATATGGTGCTACCCTGTGAATTTAACTGAACTAAAATAACTAAATCCTCTATTCGACTTAATTATTATTTTAAACCAGGACTGAGTATACTGATCCACATACTGAGTTCACTTTAATTATTTCTTTAAGAAATGCAGAATCAGGCACAATATAACCTTAATCCTATTCCAGTTTCAGCTATTTTGCAGTATCACTGCATCTTGTTAACCAAGACATCTCGTGCAGAAGTAACTGTTTCTTATATCTGGCAATATTAAAGCATGACACAGAGGAGTTACTATTTCTTAGAAAAAAATATGCAGAGTGAAAAAACTGAACAGTGACTGTTTTATATACACCCCCATACAGCTGGCATACAGAGCCCACTCTCCCATCTGTACTAACTAAGTCATATATTTAGCACACTGGTATTGTCATGATAGTTATTATCTATGCCTGTTTAATCAGATCCTTGTGTTGATTTTATCAGAGGCCTTTTTGTGTCTCAACCAGATTTTTATTTAAACTAAAGTGCTTTATTTTAAGGTAAGAAAGTGAGTAGCTGGCAAGTCTGTGACAAGTTGTAATGTTTTGTAGCAATAACATTTTCAGTGACTTTCACATTACATAAACACATAGAATATACACTATTTTTATAATAGAAAGTCACATGCTACATTCACTGGAATTTCAAAAGGAAGAATTAGGAGTGATGCTAGGATGTGAGGTAGTTAAAAAAGTCAAATATCTTGGAGTTAACATTTTAACTTCAAATGGTTATCCAACATCTTCTTTAAAATTTCCAATATT